CGCCACCGAACTCGATGAAGCGAGAATGCGGCTGGCGTCGACTGAAGAAAAATTACAAGAGTTGGAAGATGAAGTTTTCACGGCTAACGAAACAACTTCTCGAATTCAAGATGAAATGCGAAAATATCAGAACGAAGTAGTACCAGCCCTGGATGGTCCTGGCTGTTCGTCTCGGCTAAGTCACCGAAATTAATTGACTGCGGAAACCTGGTGGAAAAAACCGCACAGGAAGTAAGCAAAGGTGTTTGTTTAGGTCGAGTAATTATTCTATGGACAATATTTTCTACCAACTTGTCGCTCAACAAAGTTATGTTGAAAAGTGTTGTTGCTCTTATGACCAACCTGTGTTGCAAGTTGCGGTAACGTATTCCGCGAAGTAGACTAAATTGAGTTGAATTTTGTGCAACATTTTGCTACAACTTACAAAACAGTAATAATATGCGCAACAACGCTGTTCAAATTGCAGTGTACAGTGAAACCTGTACTAAGCGGACCCCATAATAAGCGGACATCCTCTATTAAGTGGACACCAGCTTGCGTCCCTAAATTTTCTTCCCACATTTACTGTAAAATAAACTTGCATTCAGCGGACACCTCCGTTAAGCGGACGCGGGCACCAACATTAAGCCATTTTGTTTCACAAAACCTGCAGTAGGCGGACACTTCAAGGGCTTATTTACCTCTAAAAGCTCAACTTGGACTCCTTTAACATTGTTCAGCGATGTCGTTTTACATGTAAAGATAAGTAGATTATTCCAGATTGATGCATTGACTGACTGGACATTGTGCTATGAGCAGTCTTTGATCTTACACCGTGTTACACTGTGTTACAAAACTACTTAAGGGTTAATAATTGACTTATTGCACAATATATTAGAACCTGTTTAGAGCGGACACCCTGTATTAAGCGGACACTAGTGAGTGTCCCAAGGGTGTCCGCTTAATATAGGTTTCACTCTATTAGATTGTTGGTCGACAAGTGAAGTTGCAAGGAAAATGTTGTTTGCGTTGCTTAACATTAAGCAGAGGCTTGACTGTATTCATAGAATTACTACAGTTAATATAAGGAAACATTTTAGCAGTACTGAAAACGTTTTTTGAAAGGTGTGGTCGGTACGCTGTATTTTTGTTGTATTGACAACTCTTTTAATGTTTAATGTTTTAGCCAGTGAATGGCTAGACCAACTTAGCGGTTCGTAAAAGCTGTCAGTAGTTAAAACGTATTTTATAATATTTGTGTTTTTTAGGAGAATGAAGAGAAGCTGGAGCAGGAGTCAAGTGAAGCGCGCTCTCGATTGGAGAAAAGAAACGAGGAAATCGAACAGAAGGTCAAGGAAGTGAACGAGCTCAGGGAAGCCATAAAAACCTTAGATAAAGAAAAGTTCCAAGAACTGGATAAGGTATGCCTTTGTTTATAAAACTATTACTGTCACTGTTCCATCCAATGGAATTTTGGAATTTTGTGGCTAAATATCATTTAGGCAAGTTAAATATGAGCTTATGCAGCCAGCGGTTTCCCCGTTTGGGAGTACGTGACCTGTGGGACGGCCTTCAGGGGTTTTGCAGGGGTTTATAGTTCATTGCATAATTGTTGTAGTGTATTCTGCTGATTGTTGCGGATCAGTTGCACTGGTTTGCTCGCGAATCATTGCGGATTCTTTACTACTCTGAAGAATTTCTATTAAACAATTAGATTATGAGATCGAAATTTATATCGCCCGATAGTTAACGATGAGTCAACTATCACGCGCGAATTACGTAATTGTTTTAGTATAAATCTACCAGTGTAGTCGTTCAAAGCTTTATTTATTAAAATCCTCGTCACAGACACTTTGAAAACGCAAAGAAGCGGCCCCCACTTTCTCAACAACCGCACAGTACTAAGCTACTCACTATCTACAACAAAGTAGATAGTGAGTAGCGTTAGCCATTAATCGATAAGGGAACGGCATTCGTGATAGAACGCTAGTAAACTTTTACTAAATAATTTTAAAACTGTGTCGTCACTTCAGTGGGTTCGTGGCGGTTTGTTGGGTATCGGTGATCTCGGTATTAAAGTCAATGTACTTTTTATCATGGCTATTTCTGTTTCGTTCCTTTTTTTCCAGGTGTGGTAGGAAATGATGTCTATGCAAAAGACCATCGAAGAAAGAAACAAAACAATTGACGAACAGGAACAGAAACTCCGTGAAGCGAGCTTAAAACAAGGCAAATCCGAAGAACTAAATCAGACAGTGACAGAGCAACTCAAAACAGAACAAGAGAAGTCCAAAGAGCAGATTAGGACTCTAACAGATCAACTCAAATCACTTCGTGAAGAAAAGAGTTCTTTGGAGGGAAGACTTCGTCTTGTCACGTCAGGTAGTTTATGAGTTGGCTCTGCTATACCACCCCCCATGTTTAAGCGTACATTCCCACTGAAATAGAGGGGTTTTTATGACACAAGGGGGAGGGGGGAGGGTAGGGTCGTTGGCACTTTGCTCCTTTGCCATCGCGTTTTTGACAGCTTACTTCCGTTTTCTACTTTTTTTAGGATAGTTGTTTGAGAGTTACAGGACACGCGATTACATTTACACACAGCTTAGAGGTACTTACATTTCTGAATCACATTTTGTCTCTTTAGATGCTGGAAAAGACAAAGAAGTCATTGCTAACCTACAAAAGGTTTTAGAGGAGCAGGATCGCACCTTGACAGAGCAAGGCCAAGCACTGGATGAGCGGCAAAACGAAATAGAAACTCTCACTACAGAGCTGCAAGTCTGGCAAGAAAAGTGTGCTTTGACAACCAGAGAACTGGAGAAAAAGAAAGAGGAGATTTCTGGTGTCAAAAAGCAAGCTTTCGTCGCCAGTGATGAAAAAAAGAGGCTGGAAAGTCAAATGAAGGACATGTCCAGCAAACAAGAATCCACCGAGCAAAATGCGAACGTGCGACTAATGCAAATGGAAGAAGAAATACGAAAGATGAAGCAGGATCGTTCTTGTCTTGAAGCGCAGTTGCGAAAGAGGGACGAGGAAATACGCAAAGCCCACGATTCAAGAGAAAACATCGTGAAAACCATGCACGAAGCGTTTGAAGTCGCCAAGGCTAACAAGGCTGAATACGAAATCAAACTGGCCACAGTCAGGGAGCAATGTCGACAAGACCTGAAGCGGGAGATGGATGAGGAGCTCCGGAGAACGAAACGCGACTTCCAGCGGCAGCTGAATGACAAAGACAAGAGTCTAGAAGAAATCAAAAACGAGAAAGAGTCGGTGGAAAAGGCGCTGGCTGCTGAGAGATCAGAAGCATCCAAGACTGATTCCTCTGCTTCGGTAAAACGAAACTATTATAATGATGTAAATTTTTATGTCGTTGAACGTCACTTAGGAAAGGTGTCCATTGATTATAATACAGCGAAACCTCTCCTTTGGGATACAGGGGATGCTTACCAGTTAGCAAAACAATTCGGATATTTAGGTTGAAAGTCAAATGGAACAATAATTTTCCGGAAAATCCGTTCGGAAATTATAAAGTACCTCCAAAAGTAGTCCTCTTTTTCCGTTCGAAACGGAACGGCGGAACTTTCCTTACCACTTGCTTAACTTTCCAGTTTGCAGTCTTGCATCAGCGCTTAAATTGAGTCAACCTAGTTTTAGCTAGTCCGTGTTCCGAAGTAATAATTCACTTTCGCATTTGTTGTGTTTAGGAACCTGAAGCGACAGGCAGCA